TCACTGCGGTGGGCACAAGCAGGAGAATGGGTACCAGCTCAAGTGTAGGGCATCCAGTCTTCTGGCTGGGGACCAGACAGTCTGGTAAGGAGCCGGACCAGTGCCAATGAACCACATATCATTCACGCCATGTAAGGGTAGTGTAGGTCACTTGGCTGGATGGTGTCTCATGACAGCTGGGATCAAATGGTCAAGCGGGTGGTAGTGGGGGAGATGCTGTGTACTGAGTGATCACCATGCAGATCTGGGGTGAGGTCTCCCGGAGAGGCAGGTGATCCTGTCAGAGGGATGAAGCTTACTGAAGGGAGGGGCAGCACAGGAGAGGGGAAAGGGAATGGTTACATTTGGGGGAACGTAGGCTCATGTTTGTTGATGGGAGGGGATGGAGGGCTGACCTCCAGGTGGGGGGAGGAATGACTGAGGATGCTTCTGGGACATGAGGAGTGTCTTTGGTGGTGTGCAGTGGTTGGGCAACATTGAACTTGGACACCTGGGCACCTGGGGGTTTGGGAACCCAGGCTGGGTACCAAAAATCACTGGAGAACTGAATCCTGGATCTTTGGGGTGCAAGGCATGCTCCAGAGGCTGCAGTGGTGAGACCCCATGTGGGAACTCCCCTGGGTGGACTGGACTCTACCTCAGATATTCTTGTAACCTGAGGACTTAGCCAAAAGCATATGGTGTCTGAGGAAGCAGAAGACAGCTGTGCCAAGAGTTGGGTACTGTTGGTTGGCAAACAATCAGGGCTTTGCTACATCAACGCCCTAAATGCTGTATTAAGATATGTATTACTCCGGCAAGCCTGTGAAAGCCATTCTGTTAGATGTTGCTTATTCTTGTTCAGATTAGGGTGTATCTCAGAGGTGCGTCACCATTGGGGGTCACCCTCTTGAAGTTGTGTTATTTCTCTGTTTTTCGGTAAATGAAACCCAGGGACGCTAAGCCTAAAGGGAAAGCAAATAGAACAAGGGTTTGGGGTGGGGGGGAACAGGGATGAGGGTGACAAAAGGGGGAGGATGTCAAGGAATCCAGGAAGGAAAAGTATGTTTGGAGACTGATTATGGAAGCAAATGTACAATGCTGTTTGATGTGATTGAAGTATGGAATGATATGACATAGGTATTCACTTCCAAGTCGGAGCAAATTAAAAGGAAAAAAAGCAAAAAGCATGGATCTAGGAATGGGTTCGAGCTAAACTAAATCTTACTTCCAGCTTAGGAACAATTAGTTCTTACATCACAGCCCTGCTCGGTATTCGCCCTCAGGAAGGGAGCACAGAAGAGATGCATGCTATAGCAAAATATGGCGAAGAAATTAGAGGGTGCCCAGCTTTCAGATAAAATAGCACCTGGGGTCTCAAAGGCTTGTCTCCAAGCAAGCAGCCATCTAAGTGAGATGTTGCCTAAGTCTACATGGAGGAAGAACACCATCCTCAGCCCCGGAAAGACTGTACATCATATGATCCGAAATCCAACAAGGGTTCAGTATCAGAGCCTAAAATATGAGGATCTGCGGTGCAGAGGTGATGAATGACAGGGGAGCCCAAGATTCAGTGTGGAACTGCATAGGAAATAAGCCTCCAGAGAACTCCCTCTCTCTAAAATTGAAGTTTGGGAGGAAAGTGGCCACTAAACAGAGTGCTTGCGAGAGAGGCGGATAGAAGATCAAAGGTATAAATCTGACCTGAACAGTTAGACTTTTGTCAGTAGATCCCCCCTATGATGCAGGATGGACCTGATTTGGTTGCCAAAATTTTCTGTTTTTGGTTTGGATGATTTTATTTGGTGTTTGTTCATTCACAGTAGAGTGTATCTCGGAGGTATTATGTCAAGGGGGTCAACCTCTTGAAAGTGTATTATAAGATTTTCAGTTTTGTGATGTATGAAGCCCAGGATTGATATACCTAGAGGGACAGCAAACAGAATAAGGGGCTCTGTGGGGGTTGCAGTAAAAGGTAGACAATGCCAAGGAGCCCATGTAGAAAAAGACTGTTTGGAAACGGATTGTGGTAGCTATTGTACAATTCTTCTTGATCTGATTGGAATACTGAACAATATATTATATGTATTAGATCCCAGCTAATAAAAATTACATATATAAAGAAATGGGAACCTGCACACATTGCTGGGGTGAATATAAAATGGTACAGCCACTTTGGAAAGCACTTGGGCTGTTCCTCTACATGCTAAACACAGAGTTATCATATGATGCAATAATTCCTTTCTGAGGTACATACCAAGAGAAATGGAGCATATGTCCACATGGAAACATATACACAAATGTCCACGGTGGTATTTTTTAAAATTCATAAAAGTAAGAACTTAACCTCCACCAACAGATGAATAGATCAATAGGATGTGGCATACGTATACACTGGAATATTATTTAGCAAGAGAAAAAGAGGGGGGACCAAAATCAAACACTGCCACCAAGTCAATGCCAGCTCATAGTGACTCTCTAGGGCAGGATAGACCTGCCTCTGTGAGTTTCTGAGCGTGTAATTCTATGAGTAGAAATTCCTGTGTTTCTCCTACGGAGTGGCTGGTGACTTTGAACGGCTGTGGACCTTGTGGATCTCAGCCAACTTGTAATCGCATCACCACCAGCCCCTCAACAAAGGAAAAATTACTGGTACATGCTGCAACATGGATAAACCCTGAAAGGTGAATGGAAAAGGCACACACGAAAAGAACACACATGCTGTGAATCCATTTATATGAAATACCTAGAATAGGCAGATGCACACAGACTGAACGGAAGCAAGGATTTGTAAGGATCCCCGGTGGTATAATGGTTAGGTGTTTGGCTGTAGATCAAACCCACCAATTGCTCCATCAGAGAAAAATGTGGCAGTACAGTGAACCCTCGCCACTTCGCGCTTCGACTTCCGCGGCTTCACTCTATCGCGGTTTTTGCGTAACAGCACCACTGCCTACACCCGCTCCTTCAGAGGAAAAAGACGGCGACCCACCTGTAGAGTACATCCCTTAAGTCATTTCATAGGCTATTGATTACAGTATTTGTAAGAACTAGGTATAATAATACTGTATGTGAAATATGTAATACTGTAAACTAGATGCCATAAATAATATAATAAATAATAAATGATAATTGTAACGTCCAAAATGTTTTACTGCTTTTTCGTTTAATAAATTGGGTAATACGAGTGTAATGGTGACTAAAGGGTGTTTTTTCATGTCCTCTATGCTCTAACTACGAAAATATTTGATTTACAGATAAGGAATCCTACTTCGTGGAATTTCATTTATCACGGTAGGGTCTAGAACCGATTAACCACGATAAATGAGGGTTCACTGTATACTTCTATATTAATTATCACATTGGACACCCTAGGGGGCCGTTCTACCCTGTTCTGGGGGGTTGTGATGGCAATGGGTGGGGATAGGAATTTGTGAGGAAGTATGTTTTCCGAGGTGACAAAAAGTTCTAAATTTATATTGAGTGATAGCTATACAACTCTGAATATATGCTAAGGAACCCAGGAAGAAATGGACTTTGGTGTACTTCAGTGGTAAATTGTATTCTTTAAATGGGTAAAACATGTGGCATGAGTTGTGGCTCAATGAAACTATAGAAAATTGTAAGAAGAAAATAAAATTTTATCTTAGTTTTTAGTATATATTTTGCTGAAAAACAACCAAGAATTATACATAGTAAAGATGTTTAAGTCTACCCTACTATAGCCTCAATACCAAGACTAATAATCAGGAAAATTTCCTAAATTAATTATTAACTATGGTCTTTGATACCATGTTCAGAGAAATGTGTCCTTGGAGCTTTATGGGGAGGTTCCTAGTTTTAAATTCTAATTTAAATTCTCATAGTTTTAAATTCTAATTCTTCTCCTGAGAGGAAGCACATTTTGCTTAACCCATTCCTCTCCGGATCCCTCCAAATGTGTAAGACACTCATCACAGCTGTTTGCTTGTCTAGTCATTGAAGGTTGCCTGATGGAAACCTCACTTCCTTCCCTGCCAGGCCCCATCAGTGATGCTCTGCACTCTGTACTATCTACTACGGTGATCCACTCTGAAATAGACCCCAGATCTGCAAGTGGAGACGCTTGTGATAAAGAGCCATTAGAGGTCTCAAAGGTCCCACATCACAAGTGCCCACCGCTGCACAACTCCTACACCTGCCCAGAGAAAAGTTCAGCTCAAATTTCCAGTCCAGTAGGTAGCAGTTCTGAGGTGTCCTGCCCGCAGTCACAGGGTGAGGGCGGTGATTCGAATGAGTAGGTCCCTTTCAGCATGGGAGTTGGAACCCTATAGTCATGCAAAGCCCACTGTGAACATCCAGGTACAGGGAAGGAAGCCAGGAAGAAGTGGACTTTGGGGTACTTCCATGGTACATTTCAGGAGTTATAAGCAAGAATACTTTCCAGCCTGCCTTTTCATCTGTCTCATTCTGTGGGGTGAGTCCTACCTCGTCAGACCTGGCTGCACAAAAGCCCAAATGGCCAGGATAACTAATACAGGCATGGCTGTCTGATTCTGAGCAAGCTCAATAGAGCCCTCTCTGGAACCACTTGGGAAAGAACTACCACTCCCCACCCCCCGCAAGGGTATTTAGGCACAGAAGGAGAGTATCTGGTTCGAAGGGAGGTGGTCCATGAGTTGAATTCCCTCTATCGCTTAGCAGCTGTGTGTCTTCGACAAAAGCATTGAACCTTTTGGAACCCCTCCACAGACTTCTCAAGACTGCGGTGAAGCACCAAACACAGCACCTGTCTCCAAGAGTCACTCAGTAATGACACTGACTTGGAAACTGTGCTGCAGAAGGCCTTTGACCGGGGAGAAAACTTGTCCAGGAACAACACTGCGATGTGAAAGGTCTCATCCCAGAGCTACCTGTCTGGCTCAAGTGATGCCTGCACTTCCGTAGTTTATACCGCTCTTCAGATGAACGAGTAACAAAAAGGCATACGATTCATGGTGTTTCATTATTTTGATTAATGATCCCACTTAAAAAGCACCTACCAGAATCTGCCGATGCTGCTTTTCGACTTGATATCCTCCAAAATGCAATATTCCGGGTCTTGCCTGTATGACCGTATTATTCAGAATTTTTGCATAAACTTCTATAAAAGGCAATATAGATTAGTATGTTATGAGACATGGAATGAAACATTAAGTTAAAACATATCCTGTTAACATGGGCTCTATTTAATGTGAGACACGGGAAATTTCAGTGCAAGAACACAGCTGTCAACAAGATTAATTATCTGCTCCTAAGAATCTGGACTGCTTCTCTCTTCTATTTTTAAACATCACGTGGGAGATTTTACGATCACAATACAAACTCACATATACCTTTATTATCTATTAAAATTTTTATTTGCCCTCACACATTTTGTGCAAATCTTCATAACCCAATAGCAGAATTTAAGCATGCAAACCCTATCTTTGTTCTGTATAATCTTATGATTACTTATGATGTAATGAACCTGCAGTTCAAAGATTCAGATATCAAATGCTTCATTAATGAGTATTTATGTTTTGTCATTTTATTTCCTCTGAAGAGAACTACAGTGTGATATACAATAAGATTAAAACTCTAAATAATTATCACCCGAGATAGCAAAATCTCAAATACCTTTGAATGTAATGTGAACACCTTATTTAGATGTCTTTTCAGTTTTGAGAACAAGGTTAAACCAATTGAGCTCAGGAAAGTATTCCAGTGTACAAAACTTTCCCTAGCCCTTTATTTAGGCAAGTGCGGAGACTTGGGGTGAAGACGATCACTTATTAGAGTTTGGGGGTAGAGTCCATCCTAGACATCTTGGAGGAAAGGCCTGGTGGTTTTCTGAAAAAGCGGCCATTGATAACCCTAGAGAGTCCAGTGCTCCTTTGAGACCGACAAGGTCTCTGTGAGCCGCCATCGACTTGGGAGTAACTGTTTTTAAAAATCTGCTTGTTTTCAGTGCTCTATCCAGGCCATTCTAGGAATATATTTACTTATAATTGTCACACTAACTCTTTGCGTGCAGCTGGTAGTTAAAAATCAAGCTCAGGTCTGTTTGGTTTCAATCACTATGCTAAACCGCTTCCCTCAATATGAATGCCTTGTCCAATTTCTTACAAATGATAGCCATTCAAGTTCAGGTAGATCCCAAACAAGTGAGCCATAGGCACTTTCACCCCATCCTAACCCTATTAGTCACCTACACGTGCAAGGGGTGTGAATTGTTTGGTTGGTTTGCTTCTCATCAGATTGGCTGTTACTGTGACCAGGTTGGAATGGGTCAAAGATGACGTGTCAGGGAGATGGGAGATCACTGAGGTTATCATTTGCTAAGTCTCAGCTTCTTCGATCGTAAATTGGAAACAGGACATACCTCTCATGAGATTGTCAAATGGACTAAATGAGGATACTTTAGTCCCCAGTTACTATCTTTTATCTAACACACCTCACTTAGCGACATATAAAAAATCCACTGTCTATTTTGTGCATCCACAATGCAAGTTTGGCAAGACCAATGCCCAAGTATGAGGTAAGGAAATACTGGCTGTGATGGTTAAGGTCGGTGCCAACTTAGCTGGACCACGATTTTCAGTTATTTGGCAATTATGTGATGACAAAGTGTGGCAGTTATAAAATGATGCAGTCATCTTTCATTTTGTGATCAAACGTCACCCATCATTCTCACATCATGCAAGTGTTTGCCTAACAGCTTGACCTTTGGAAACAATGTCAACAAGTGAGGAGTAATATCGGCAAGATATTAGCTTTTCACATGGCACCTGTAGTATTTACCAAGTTTTCCAGGCTAAGCGATGCACATGAAAAAGGTTAGAGGGTGTTTTTCAAAAATGTGGTCTTGGTGTGGCTAAAGGGATGAAGGAATGGAGAGACAGGGGGGAGACGGCCCTGGATTTGTGAAGTTCAGATCAGACAGCAGCAAAGGGGTCCAAATAAAGAAATGGCAACTCTATTCTCTATGCCTGGGTAACCACTGAGAGAACTGGCACAAGATAGGAACAACCAGGAATTTAGAGAGGAAATGATAGAAATATAAGAGTAGTCTGAAGAACAGGACCCAGGGGAAAGCCCAGTACTTTCAGTGATAGGGCTGAGGATGAGCAATATGGCCTGGGGACAGAGAGGACAGATCTTCCACCTGAAGAAGTGGAAGCCACAGAACTTTTTTTTTTTTTTAATTTTATTAGGGGCTCATACAACTGTTATCGCAATCCATACACACATCAATTGTGTAAAGCGCATTTGTATATCATTCTCAAAACATTTTCTCTCCACTTAAACCCCTGACATTAGGTCCTCATTTTTCCCCTCCCTCCCCGCTCCCCCCTCCCTCATGAGCCCTTGATAGTTTATAAATTGGTATTTTGTCATATCTTGCCCTGTCCGACGTCTCCCTTCACCCACTTTTCGGTTGTCCGTCCCCCAGGGAGGAGGTCACATATAGTTCCTTGTAATCGGTTCCCTCTTTCCTACCCACTCTCCCTCTACCCTCCCTGTTTCGCCACTCACACCACTGGTCCTGTAGGGCTCATCCGCCCTGGATTCCCTGTATTTTCAGTTCCTATCTGTACCAGTGTACCTCCTCTGGTCTAGCCAGACTTGCAAGGTCGAATTCGAGTCATGGTAGTGGGAGCGGGGAGAAAGCATTTAGGAACTAGAGGAAAGTTGTATTTCTCATCATTGTTACGTCGCACCCTGACTGGCTCATCTCCTCCCCGAGACCCCTCTGCAAGGGGATCTCCAGTGGCCTACTAATGGGCTTTGGATCTCCACTCCGCACTCCCCCCATCATTCACCATGGTAAGATTTTTTGTTCTGATGATGCCTTATACCTGATCCCTTCGACACCTCGGAAGCCAGAGAACTTGTTGACTCATTTACACCACAAATATCCATCAGTTAAGGGGGGAGGGATTCCTGGTCTACATAGAACCATTATTCTTAATAGTAAAAACAATTATGCGTGTCCATAAGACAGTATCAATAAATCAGCACCCAAACTTCTATTATGCTCTCCGGCCTTTAGATTCTATGGGAAAATGTAATCTAGGGAGCAAAACGGTTTCCCAGTTACTTACTTGATTCTAGGAGGTGATTGTGTATTTCTGCTTTTTTCCTGGGCTCTTCCACGAGGCTCCTCAAGAGGACGGAGGATACCTTAGTCAGCGATTCCTCGGCATTCTTCAGCTCCTGTCTTCGGGTTTTCACCACTGCCATTTTATCAGGAAAAACGAGTTTTCTTTTGAGAGCCAAAGGTTATTTCCTGGGAAGAAAACAGCAGCAGCATAACCCTTCAGGAGAACCACAGGACGTTTTCCCCTCCGTCTTTGATAAATGTACCTCGTACTGTTGCCGTGGTTACTGCGGTTCAGTCCCCTGCCCCTTGTCTCCGCTGACCGCTCCGTTCCCTCCCACAGCTGCTCCATGAGTTTTCTTATATCACAGGTGACCCCCAAGATCCTGCCCGTAATGGAAACATTCCAAGGCTCCTGAATTCTCCTCAATAACCGTCGCCAATATGTTCTTCCTGAGGGTTCGTTGAGCTATTTGTAGGCGCTACTCTTGGATTTACCCAAATCGGATTCTGAGATGTGGGTGACCCGGAACCCTTTTACATGTTGAGAGACTACTTGTCAGACCCTGTGACTTATGAACCACCTGCCAGACCCCTCTTCAGTCGGGGCAATGTGAAGGGGAAGGTGCCTGCAGTCCACCTATTTCTCCATCAGCCACCGTGGGATTGGTCCTGTGGGTTCTGCCTCATGCGATGCCTGGGACTAGATTGACCATCGGACACTTGCTACTCTGAGGAACAGTTACAGCCTGGAAGCAGACAGAGGCAGTTCTACCCTGTCCTCAGGGTCGCTGTGACTCAGAGTCGACTTGATAGCTAGGAGTTTGATTTTCACACCCTCGGAGCCCTGGTGTCGCCGTGCGTTAAGTACTGGGTTGCTAAGAGTAAGACTGGTAGCTCAAAGCCACCAGCCACTCCACAAGAAAAAGATGCGGCCGCCTGCTCCCATAAGGACTTGCGCTCTCTGAAACATAGCAGCTCCACTCTGTCCTATGGTATCCACTGGAATACCCATTTTAAGTTCCGCTGTCTTCATAAGGTCCGCGCTGATCCCCGTTGTCCTTCAAAACCCTCCAGCAAGTATAAAACACAGATATTTGGCATTACTATCGTACTATCTTATGATGGCACTTTACACATCCCACACGAACACACATCTTCCCCAGCAGGGTCTCCTGGTTGGGCTAGTGGGCTGCTCTGTGAAGAGTCCAGGGCTAACAGTCAAACCACGTGTGGATCTTTATTTTGTGCTTTTTCCCCAGAAAAACCCCTAACTGTTGCTTCTTAAAGGAGTCCAGGACCAATAAGAACCTTTTCAGGAGCCATCAAATACAATTTACATGCATAAGGAGTTGCTTAATAGTCTCCTGGCGCCGCACCAGAGTCCGGGTGGTACAGCGGTTCTGAGTTGAATTGCAAGGTCAGCAGGTCAAGGGGGCTTCCCTGGAGAAAGACCCTAAAGAAACCAGGGGCAGTTCAACTGGTCCCGTTTGTTGGAAAGGACTGGATGGCAGTGAGTTTGGTTTGGGCGTTAGCTCTACTGTCAGTTCCCCACTTTCCAGCAGTCTCCCCAACTCTCTGTGGCCCCTCCCCAGTCCCTTCCGCACCTATCCCTAGCTCACACGTCTGCACCTTCGCACCCCCCAGCCCTCTGTCCCAGTCCAGCTTCCATAAGACAAGTTCCCACACAGGCTCCATCCCTAAGCCATCCACACCCCCTTGGTTCCTTCACCCCCTATTTCGCCTCCAGGTAAGGGCAGGTGAAGAGCCCAGACTCACGCCCCCCAGGCCCTCACCTCCACCTTTAACCTTGGGGCCCCCACCTCTCCTGAGACGTGGGCCCTGCAGACTCCGTCCGTCTGTCCGTCCGTCCGGGGCCTCCTTAACGCGGTGGCCGCCCCTCCGCCCGCGGCCCCAGGGCCAGGCTCTCACACAGGCTGGAGGTGGGAGCTGCCGCACGGAAGTCGGCGGGTTGATGCGGACGCGCAGATCTGTCGCCATGACGACGCAGACGAGGGGCGGGGTTGTGGGGGGTGGGCGGAGTGGGGAGTGTGGGCGGGGCAAGACCCAGCTCGCTGCAGCCGAAGTGGGGAGCTGCCACGAGGCTGGGGGTGGCTTCCGAGCGCCCCGACAGTCGACCGTCGGCCAGGCCCTAGGGAAGGAGAGAAGTGGAGGCAGGGGAAGTGTGAGATTTAGGGGGTCCTGAGGAAATGGGGAAGCCGGGAGACAAGTACCGAAAGGAAACCCCCAGGGAAGCAGATTGCTTAAAAGAGGGAGGCTCCGGAGTAGCATTCTCCTACTCTTTCTTTGAATTGTGATGGTTTACTTGTTTTTCATTTTCTAGTATAGAAAATGTCAAGCACAGACAAAGGTAGCCCGAATGGTAACGTGAACCTTCAACATTCAGCTGTACCAATGATCAAATCACGGCTGATCTCATCTACACCTCTCCCCAAGCCCTAAACTCACTGCCGTCCAGTGGATGCCACTCCTAGCGATCTTAAAAATAAAATCATCCATTGGGTCAAGCACATTTGGACATTTGTTGCCATCATCATTCTCAAAACATTTTTTTTCTATTTGAGCCCTTGGTATCAGCTTCTCATTTCCCCCACTCCCTCCCTGCTCCCCCACTCCCTCATGAACCTTTGAAAATTTATAAATTATTATTATTTTGTCATGTCTTACACTGTCCGATGTCTCCCTTCACCCACTTTTCTGTTGTCCATCCCTCAGGGAGGGGATATATGTAGATCCTTGTAATCAGTTCCCCCTTCCTCCCCCACCTTCCCCTTCCCCTCCTGGTATCACTACTCTCATTATTATTCCTGAGGGGTTTATCTGTCCTGGATTCCCTGTATTTCCAGCTCTTATTTGTACCAGAGTACATCCTCTGGTCTAGTTTGATTTGCAAGGTAGAATTGGGATCATCATGATAGTGGGGTAGGAGGTTTAGTATTAAGGTAGCAGATGGACATTGGGCCTCCACTCAAGTACTCCCTCAATGCAAGAACACTTTGATCTATTAAACTGGCATTCCATGATGCTCACCTTCCTGGACACGATCGCTGAAGACAAAGCGCTTGTGCATTCTCTCTCTTTGTCTCTCTCTCCCTCAAGCTCTCTCTCTCCAATCATTTTAACATTTTCAAGTATTCAGTCTATTATCTGCAGCCCAACATCTACCCCACTGCATCCCCAGGGGTCCTTCCATTATAGGCGCCATGGGCTTGTTCACTTTGAATCAGGATTCCAATAAGAGCTCCATATCACGATATGTCTTTTAAGCCTTTTCTAATCTAGCGTCCTCTTTTATCTTATTATCCCTTGGCAATTTATTCGTTGGAGGAACGGTTTCTGCTCTTATAACTTGGTGTGAATCCCTGATTCCCCCCACCTGTCACCCTCTTCATTGCGGTTAGGCACCATCAGGTTGGCTCTGACCTATAACAACACTTCATGCAGCAGAATTAACTCTGCGAGCCGTGTGCCATCCTCACCATGGTTCTACGTTTGAGCCCATTGCTGCAGGTGGCACCACCTCCTCTTTTCTAAATCGTTGTCCTTGCCTCCATCCCTCCCTGTAGGACTTGGCACTTGGTTGATATTCTTTATGGCTTCGTGTTGTTGACATATTCTAATGAGATTTCAGCCAGGTAACCCCTCTTTCCCACGCTCACATAAACTGTTTTACTGGATATGGTGCCTTCCACACATCTAGAATGTCCACCCCCCCCATCCTCCCATTCTTTAATCCTCTCTTTAATCCCCTCCTCCATCATCACTTATTAACAATCTCACCATCCTCTGTGGTGTCCCCATGAAGACTCCCCACTCCACTGCCCACCTGCCCAACCAGAGGTCTCTTTCCCTCCCCTGGGATTCCATGGAACTGTATTCCACTATTTTTTCTGGAGTTATCCCTCTTTTTAAAATCATTTCATTGGGTGCTCTTACAGGTAGCATAACATTCCATAGTTCAATCACATTAAGCAGTATCATACGATTGGTACCACAGTCAGTTTCTAAACACTTTCTTTCTTCTTGAACTCCTTGATATCAGCTCCCCTTAACCTCTCCCTCTCCCCCAGGAACCATTATTTTTATTCTTGCTGCATCTCACACCATCCAATATATCCATTTACGTACAATTCTGTTGTTCACTCCCCTAGATTGGGGTTATAGGCACAAACCAGGAGCCCTGCTGATGTAGTCGTTATGTACTGGGCTGCGATCTAAAGACTGGCAATTTGAAACCACCATGTGTTTTTTGGGAGAAAGACAGGGCTTCTACTCCCATGAAGATTTGCAGTCTTGGAAACTCACAAGGCAGTTCTACCGGGTCCTATAGGGTCTCTGAGTCAGCATCGACTCAATGGCAGTGAGTTGGTTTTTGGATTATACACAAATCAGTATTTGTGGATGCATCTTAAACAGCAAAATTCCTAGATGTAGCAGACTGTGAAATCTTTGGATCTCTCGGCCCTTGGACAGTGTTTTATTTCCACTGATCACGCTATAACTGTAGGTGAAGTGGGTGAAAAATCTACTTGCTTATGTAATAGGCTGCTTTTGTTCTTTCTACAAGGTTGTATTTGTACACTTCAGGATAATAGTTTCCCCTAACCAAGTCAGGGGAAGTTAGGAAAACCAAGTTTTCCAGTCCAAGCCCAAATTGTGCTTGGTTTCATATACTTTTCAATGGATAACACGACTTAATATGTGCTTGTTTTCTTAGAACATAATTTGTTTTCTTACAAGAAAACAAGAAAATAACTTGTTTTCTTACAAAATAATTTGTAAATCTTTAATTCAATAACCAAACTATATGTTATCAATTAGTTAACCAAATTCTACACAACAGTGTGGCGAACACTGCTGGGTTCTCGATCCCATTTTCTTGCTTGCTAAAAGCACCTCAGCTTTGCTCGGGTTTTCCACCGTTGTTCTTTACATGCAATTCCTCAGCTCCTGCCGTCGATCTTGGTTGTTGTTAGTTGGCGCCTGGTTGGCGCTGACTTGGGGTGCGCCTGCGTAGAAGAAAAGGAAACCTTGTCCAGTCCCACACTGTCTTCATCGTCAGGGTCTGTTCTAGACCCTCGTTGTATTTTGAGTACTTTCCAACCAAGGAGGTTCGTCTGCC